ATAACCCACATGCAGAGAGAAAAACGACAGGCTACTGCAAAGGTATGTCTGAAGGGGGACAGAAATTTCCCTGGCCAGGTGGGAATGGGGCATGGAGTCCCACTTGGCTGCAGAGCATGTGGTTTCTGTCACTTGGCTGCATAGGAGTCACCTACACCTGAGAGATCCTGTCCCTAGGGACAGTGGTGGCAGAGAGAGACTGAGACACTTTGATAAGCAGGGGCTTAGCTATCAGGATGTCAGAGCCAGGCCCAGGGGACTCAGGAGAAGCCGGTGGCCCATTTGTATCCAGGTCCAGGAAGAAAGTGGCTAGGGGTCAGGCTTGGCTTTGGCATCTGGGTTTGGGCCAGGCTGTAGCCCCCAGAAACCTGGAGAAGCTGAGGTATTCCTCTCAGAGTACAAGAAAGTGTGAGGACTGAGCAGGTACCCAGACCTCCTAGGAAGCTGGGGTCAGGCTGGGGAGCAACAGAGATGGCTGGGCCAGAGGGACTCCCTGGCGATCCCAAGAGCTATGTGCTCTTCAGCAATGCCTGGGAGATCGGGGAACGGTGGGATGTGGAAATGTGAGAGATTATCAAAATTCCAAATCAAGTTTTGATTCATTTATGTCACACATCCAGGCTAAGAGAATCAAATCGTTCACACTGGTGATAAGCCACCCCATTCCTGACCACACACCACACCTGTGCTGGTCATGCCTCTCACATGTCTCTTGCCCAAGTGTACAGAAAACATGGCTGGCGGTCCTCCTTGGTGTCTTCTGGCTAAACTCTGCTCATCTGCCCCGGACCTGAACAAGTGTGTCAGGCATTAGCTAATCACCATGTAGTGTCCGTGCTACGGTGTCACCTACCTCTGCCACGGCCAGGCAGATGGCTCCCCGTAAGTACACAGAGCAGGCGGCCCTTCAGGGAGCAATGGCCATATTTTAACATCTGCCTGCTCACCTCTAGTCACTGTTGGGTTCTGACAGGGGCCGACTGTGGAAAAGCAAGCTCCTCCAGTACGAGCCCACAGACAAGCTCCTTCTGCCCAGTGTCATCACTGACAGCTCACCTCCCCCTTCCTCACTGCTCCTGAGGCCATCTGGCTCCCCACAGGGCTGAGTCTCCCTGAGCTCATGGTTTCCCTGTGTGACAATCTAGCCCTTCATTGGGGGCAGTGTCCTACAGCAGCCCCAGGAGCCGTCTTTGTGAGAATGTGTTGCCAATCACATGACTGAACACCCCACCCCTGAGGTGCAGGAAGAATGTCCATGGCTCTTGTCAATGAGTTTTCCCTGCTGTCTCCAAAGTGCCTGGCCCTCCTATGAAACCGTGGTTTTCCCTGCAAACCTTTAGGATGCCATTTTTATTTCTATTCTTAGAGCTCTGGGCCCTTGGGATACCTGTCTCTGTTATGACATCTGTCAACTATTATACTGTGCTCTGAGTCCCTTCCAAGCTGTGGGCCACAGGACTTCCTCTCAGGTACTGTCCTGAGAGGTCTTTGCATGTTTCTTCTTCCTCTGGAAACCTACGTTCAGCCCCTGAACTCTGCTATGGGACAATCGTCTTGTACCCTGTAAAGATTGGTCACTTGTACTGGTTTAATAAAATACTAATTGGCCAGTATCCAGGAAGGAAGTATAGGCAGGGTGACCAGAACAGGAGAATTCTGGGAAGAGAAAAGGCTGAGTCTGCAGTAATCACCCAGACGCAGAGGATGCAAGATGAGAATGCCTCACTGATAAAAGGTACCAAGCCACGTGGCTAACACAGACAAGAATTATGGGTTAATTCAAGATGTAAGAGTTAGTTAATAAGAAAGTCTAAGCTAATAGGCCAACCAGTTTATAATTAATGTAGGCCTCTGTGTGTTTCTTTGGGACTAACTGGCTGCAGAACAGAACGGGACAGAAACCTCTGTCAACAGAACCTGGTAAGTCAGCTTTACACTGACCTTGGTCCCCCTCCAGCTGCTGCTATCTCTTTGCTCGCATTCCTTTGAAGAGCCTTGACATTCAAGCCGTTCCCAGAGACTTGTCTACTGTGTGAGTCTAGATCCTATCAGGTCGTCCATCACTACTGAGCAGCACAGGAACCAGCTTTGTGAATGAATGACTCCCAGCTCCACCGAGCACTTGGGATACAAGGTAATGGGACTCAGGTCTGGATTCTCATTTCTTAAAACTGCAATTCCACTGTCCCATACATTGGCAGCGGGCTCTATGTGTCTCGGAGCCCAGACAACTCATTCATGCTCTAAGATCTCATCCACACTGCCAATCATGTGGCACGGTGACTGGCTCTCTTCTGCTCTGCTGATCATGCACACAGAATCAGATCCAAAACCTTATAGTCCTGCTCATTTCGAACCGCTGGTGCCCAGCTCTGCACCCTCCCTGGCTGGTTGCTGTCCAAAATCTGGTACAGGCTGACCCCAGGGCCTTTGCACAAGCCACCAGCTCCAGACCTCCTTCTGTCGGTCCTTTCCTTCCTTTCTCCTGGCCTCTGCTCTGGTGTCACGAAGGTCATCTGGGGTACCAGCCTCCACTTCACTCTGCTCTCCCACCATGCTTTGCCTCTCTTGCTGTCTAGCAGACCTGACATATTATAGTACATGTCTGCTTACTCGTTGGTGATCTGTCCACCTGATGTGCTCTCGGTGGGAGCAGGGTGTGGCCTGGCTGACCTCATCTCCCCCAGCACCTGCAAGCAGCATCACCTGCAAGTGGCTGTCATTCAAGTGTGCTGCGAACTGGCCTGGCCGAGATGGCAGATTCAACTCCGATTACTTTCCATCATAAATATGTATCGTCTGCCAGTCACACTTCGGGTAGTTCAGGCTCCTGTCCCTCGTCTAGAAATACAACTCCGACTCCCGTTTCTATGGGAACACAGAGCCTGAATCCCAAATAAGACTTGCAGAATTTTGGAGAGCAGAGACATAGAAATGAGCGGCTTCCCCAGCCACATGCCCTTGGCGAGAACAACAGGCTTCTAGCCAGTATGGCCGACAATAGTGCCAGATTCTTACCTGACTCCAGCACCTGTACTGTTGTGATGGACAAGAGATACATATTTGGGGACTTGGGAGATGATGGCTCCCACATGAGGAACTAAGTTTGATCTCCAGATCTCATTTTTTAAAAAGTGGGGGTGTGGTGGCATGTGCCTACAAGCCCAGCACTGAGGGGTGCAAGGCAGGTGCCTTGGGGTTCTGAGGCCTGCCAGTCCAGACTACTTTATAGATTCAAGACCAAGTGAGAGACCCAATCAGGGCAGACAGTATGTACTGAGGAATGACACACGTGCATGTGCACCTATGCACACATGAACCTGCTCTTGAATACACACACACACACACACCACATATTCAGCCTTTACCTTCATTTATAAGCAGAGCTCTTAATAGCCCTTGGGATTCTCTAGGCATAAACTTAAGAATGAGACAGGACCAACTTAGCTCACAGTCTCCCTCAGGTTGAGGCTGATGCAGGGACAGCAGCAAATCAGAGCTGGGGTTTCCAGCCTTTCCCTTTAGGGCTGGGGACCGGGCTAAAGGCTGGACTGATCACACCCATCAACAATGTAGTCAGCTTTGCCATGGCCACCTCTAAGAAGACAGGAAAGAAGACACTGGGCCACAACTCCTAGTGAGGACAGGCTAAGCAGACGCCTGTCTAGATTTACATGGAAACTCCCTAAGAACAGCCATGCATGGGCACGTGTGTGCCCAGGTTCGTTTCCTTGTGGACATTTCCAAGGCAGCTCATACCGTGTATGATACTACAGTGGGGCATCCCAGGACCCTGCTTATGACCTCATGAAGAAGAAAGTCCCTAGAGAAGACAAAGTGACCTTAATCTTAAAACAAAACAAATATACCTGATACCAATGGCACAGGGCACCCTGGAACCCCCAGCAAGGAAGGACATTCCAAACCCCTGGAGAAAGGGGGCCCAGAATAGCCCTGAAGAATTTATTCGTTTTCCAGCAAACCACAGCCTCTAGAACCATGACATCAGCTCAGTGCCAAGTAACAGTCATCACTGGCCAGGGTCTAGGCTGAGCAGCTGCGTTAGAACATGGTGAGTACAAGGATTACAGGGTTCCTGGTCACCAACAAAAGGCTTTACCCTCTGATCCTGTACGACAAGAAAAACCCTTCACCTCTCCCTTTCTGCATCTCTCAGTGTGGGAATCCGGCCTGAAGCTCCATGGGAAACATGCTGCTCTACAGTGGGATGTGTTAGGAGATGTGGGTTGTCCATGTTGAACACCAAATAAATGGAGGGCTGATCCCTCACTGGAAATCAAGCCTACAGCGTCATGCTCCATGTTTCCCTTTGTATGAACTGACCAGAAGAGAAGGTTCCACTGAAGCGGAAGGTAGATGAGTGGCTGCTTAGGCGGTGGGGGAGGAACAGAAGCGGCACTTTAGGGGGATCAGGACCTCCTTTGGGAGTGCTGATAGAGCTCTTACCCAGAGGGCAGTAAGTGCTGAGCGACATTCTGAAAGCTCTTAATGCCACCAAATTGGTTTTGTCAAACCTTTTTAAATGGTTAAGATGTTAACTTTGGTGTCCTATGCATTTTTCCTAATTCATTAACGATTATGAACTGAGTTGTATGTTCCCAGAAGGTCATGTGCCAGGCAAGGCCCAGTGGAGGCTGCTCGCCCTCCCCGCCGGGACGGCAGAGGGGAGAACACAGAAAGTGACAAACCCCTGCCCATCAAGTTTGCACTCCTTGAGACAGACGATTTACTCAGCACTTTCCAACGGCTACAGAACCGAAAGTGGCCTTACTTCATTGCCTTTCTAGAGCTTTCTACAGAGATGAGTCTCAGCATTATTCCCACTTTTCGGTCTAAAGGAAGCAGGCTGCGTGGACGGGCAAACAGAACCATGCAGCGCCTCCTCCCGCATGAGGTACTGTGGCCACAGTCACTGGCCCAATGCCGCCTCAGAGCGGCACCTGCCACAGTGGAGTGGTGGAGTCGGAGGCTCTCTTTACCTGAAATGGCGTCTGGCTGTTGTAGTTTTTCAATTCCTTGTTTCCGCCCCGAAACAGCAGCACTCTGGCACAGCTGTCCTGCAAACGGAAAAGTGGAAGTCGCTTGTGAGCTGGTGACATGGACTTTATCCAGAGACGAGGCTGCTAAGTTCAGGCTCATAGGAAAGCCTGACTTAGTACTTCCAGGGAGAACGAAGAAAGGCTGGGGGTGGGGAGGTCGGTAAAGTGATTGCCATGCACGTGTGAGGACCTGAGTTTGAGCCATGGAACCCATGTGAAAATGTCAGGTGCTGGGACCGGAGAGATGGCTTAGAGGTTAAGAGTGGGTGCTGCTCTTGCAGAGGACCCAAAACTGGTTCCCAGAACCCACAAGGCTGCTTATAACCCCCTGAAGCTCCTGGGCAACCCCTCCTGGATCCTGCAGTCCTTTCGAAGTTGTCTTAAGTCTCAAGGACATTCCTACAAAAGGCTAGGAATAAAGCCTCCCCTGGTCCTGTTATTCACAGCCACACAGGTGGGATCTGGGAAGAAGAGCCCAGAAGCCCTTTCTACTCTCACCCACAAAGGCTGTTTCCAGAGCCCATTGAACCAACCCAAAAGGCTGACCCACCCTTCTGATGATGGCCAGGCTGCCAAGGCCATTCTAATACAGCTGCTCTGGCTTGAGTGGAGACCTACCATTCCAGCTGGGCAGGTTAGTGGTCTGGCTAAGGGGCAACCCCTAGGAAAGAGGAGACACCCCAAGGGAGGAGGGGCCATCCCTAGGAAGAAGGAGTGACCTCTAGGAAGGAGAGACCACCCCTAAGAAGGTGGGTTTACTTTAAGCCATGCTAAAGAGATGGAAGGAATAATTATCCCTTTAATGAGATACTGTCATTTTCCTTCCCAGAATTCCCTCTGCCTAGCAGAGGCCCTATGATCCTCCACATGGTTCAGTTGAGTCTGCTCTCCTTTCTGATGCAGGACTCAAAAGTCTTTCCTCTTTTCTGTGTCTTCCTTTTGGATGCTGGCCAGAGTTTGAGTACGCTTTCTTTTGGTATTTTGGGCTTCCTTACTTTTTTCCTAAAGCCTGGTCCCCGTCATGCAGCTGCTTGTCCTCCAGGTCTGAACTCCATGCATGGGTTTTCCCGTCTCTCCAGTCTCCCTCAGGCAGCTGCGGAGGTTCACAGCTTGCCTGCCCTGGAGATTTTCTTCACAACTCTAATAAAAAGCTTCCATTTGAGTCTGCTGTTACATTCCTTTACTAATGAAACCAAGAACCCCAAGAGGGGGCCCTGATTTCTCTGATATCATAGGGACACCGTGGCAGAACTCCTCCAAATTCTTAGTTAACAGTTCCAGTCATTCTTCAGAACTGAAGGGCCAGGGGTTTCTGCATCTTACTAACAGTTATGCTTCAACGTGTGTGTGTGTGTGTGTGTGTGTGTGTGTGTGTGTGTGCGTGCGTGCGCGCGCGTGTGTTCTATCCCTCACTACTCCACTTCACTTGCCTGGCGCAGAACTCCACTGAGGTAACAAGAGGTCACAAGAAGGAAGTACTAGTGTGTGAGAATGCCTTTGCATGAATTGATTAAGAAGAATGGAAACGAAGGGTGAGGTGAGAAACCAGGGCAATCTGAAGCTTCAGGAGGGTGAAGCAGGCAGCCCGAAGGCATTGATGCAGAACTTAACCATTCCCCTGCACTCTCTTGGATGGCTTGAGTCTTATCTGGCAGGTTTCCATCCTCAAAAAAAAAATCAATGAAGTATGAATACATCAGCAATTTATGTTCATCTTCTAAGGACCATTTTACTGCCAGGTTTTCTCTTTGTGCAAATTTTCAGAGACACTTTAAAAATATGAAGCTTCCCTGAGGGCAGTCTTTCTGAGGCCACCCTGCACTTAGCCATGGGCCCCGAGTCGCGGGCTCCATGAGCTGTGGGGTGCCATTATCCTGTCTATTTTGCAGGTGAAGGGACAGGCTGAGAAGTCACAGTCACCCATGCATGTAGGAAGTAGACAAGTCAATGGCCATGTCAGTCCCTGGGGACAAAGCAGAGCGTCACGGTTCATGCGACTGGTGGTGGTGGGAAGGTGGAGGAGGGCAGGGACACAAGCAGCAGCCAACTCAGGCTGGGCTGTTCTGAAGGTCTTTGTGTGGCCTTCAAAGGAAGACAGGGTGTGTCTGATGAAGATGAGACTGGCGGTCAATAGGCTGAGCCCTGGTGTAACAAGAAGAGAAGCTGTGGTCACAGGCGTCAGGATCCCCACAGACAGACAAACACAGAGACATCGCAGAAGCAGGCAAGTGCAGGAGAATCACGGGAAGGCACTATAGGGCAGGTCTCAGTATTTTTCAGTAGAGACCCAAATATACAATGACAGCTGGGCTTGAACTGTGAATACTGTGGTCCTGGGAGGGGCATCAGAGGCCTTGGCAAGGATGGGTGATGGGGCAGGTGGAGATGGACCAATAGGGGACAGACCTGGACAAGCAAGATGGGTGTCACATGAAGCTCAGCTTCGAGCTCCATAGAAAAGGACATCAGTTACAGAGCAGGGAGGATCACAGGGACTGGATCTCCTAAGAGGCCACCAGGTGGTGGGGGCATCAGGTGAGCAGGGTTCATTATTGTGAGATACTGGGGAATACTGACATTCTAGAAAGCACCAAAGTCTGTGGGTAGGCAAAGCTGATGTCACTAAATGACAGAATCTAGGTACCAGACGTATGAGGCATGGATGCCAAGAAGTGCCATTGGGAAGAAGAGTTGGAAGTGCCACATAGATAGGGCCTGTCTGGAAGAAATGGACCATGTCAGGGAGAATATGGCCATCAAAGCAGCTTGCATGGGCATGGGTAAGGGATGAGCTGGGGCATATACCACCAGGGAGCTTGGAAATGGTGTGTTTCTATTGGGCCTGGCAAACAGTGGAGAAGGATAAAGCCAGAGTTGCAGTCCATGTTTGTCCAGAAGGGCCAGCACTGCCAAGACCAATCCAGGACTTCACACCTACAGCACAGCTACACGAAGCACCATCACGAGAATGTCACAGTCATGAGTCATTCATTGTTCAGACACAAGGCAGGACCTCATTTCCAGGTTAAGTTATCCTTGGACATAACCTGTGGTGGCAACCACGGACCAAAGATGAACTCACTCAGGAAAAGGCTGGTACGTAAAGGGCGAAGACAGAAGGTAAGTTTGCAATCTTAATATTGTACCCCCCGAAAAGGACCAGGCTACTTCATATGCTTAACCTGTACCCCCTGAGCTCCATCCATCCCACAAAGGCTGGGGTGGGTGGAATGGAAGCCTAGCTATACCACTTCCTAACCTGGATCTGCTGACCAGTATGGAGGAAACACCAGTCAGTGGTATCCACAGGCTCTCTGAGGAAAGACTGTACAGTATTATCTGTCCTACTTGGCTCTACCTGTCAACTTGACACAGCACGGAGTCAGCTGAGAAGGGAGTCTCGGGAGAACGAGTGCCCAGATCAGATCAGTCTGTGGGAATGTCTGTCGGTGATTGTCTTGGTTGTTAATTAACGTAGGAGGGATCAGCCCACTGTGGGCAGCACTATTCCCTAGGCAAGTGGTCCTAGGCTATAAGAAAGGTAGCTAAGGCTGGCAAGACGACTCAGACCTCTTCCAGAGGTCCTGTGTTCAATTCCCAGCAACCACATGGTGGCTCACAACCATCTATTATGAGGTCTGGTTTCATCTTTTGGCATGTACATGTCAGCAGAACACTGTATGCATAATAAATAAATTCTTTAAAAAGTAGAAAGATAGCTAAATATGAACCTGAGTGAGCCAGCAAGCAACATTCCTATATAGTTTCTGCTTCAAGTTCCTGCCTTGACTTTCCTCAGTGATAAACTGTGTCCTAGAAGTGTAAGCCAAATGAACCCATTCCTCTCCTAGTGGCTTTTGATCAAAGTGCTTCATTTCATCACCAGACAGCAGTCCATTCTAAGAGACCAACAGCCATTATGCCTATGGGAATGATGGCCCTCTGATGGCCCCAGGGAAATAGCCACAGAGTGGGCACATATCCCATGAGAAACCAGCAAGGCACAGAGATACACACTGAAAACACTTCCCTTCACACAGATACAAAAGGCATACTACCAAGAGAAGGAGTACATGTTCATATGTATGTGTGTGTGCTTGTGTGCATGTGTGTTACATGTGTGCTTTTGTGTGTGTGCTGTGTGTGTGCATGTGTGTGTGTATGTGCTTGTGTGCATATGCATGTGTGCTTGTGGGGGTGTGTGTGTTTATCTTCTAGACAAGCTAGGCTGCTCAAGTAACCTTTGGTATTTAAGCTTCCTCTGATCCTTCATTATTCAGGGTGTTGCTTTCTCCCTCTGGAGCTCTTGGGAAGCCAGCAGGAGGGGAGAGAGCCCAAAGATTAGAATCAATTTGCTGCTTACAATCAAAGCCCTAATTAGTTGATTGCATGAGAGGAAAGAATATTCTGATCACAGTGTGTTTTTATTAGAAGTGTCCTGATGAAATTGATAAAGCATGCACAGCATTCTACATACCTGGGGCTTCCAGATCTAAGGAGCGGCTAATTAAGGACAATCAGTATCAGTAGCATCACCACCACCACCATCACCATCAAGCTTAATATCACCGCCATCACTGTCATTACTACAACCATTATCACTCCATTACCATCATCACCCTCATTATCATCACCACCTTCACCATAAGTACCATCACCACCATCACTATCATCATCACCATCCTCATCATCATTCCCTCTATCTTCACTATAACCACCATCCCCACCATCACCTCATTATCACCAGCAACAGTATCACCAGCATTACCTCTATGAACACCATCTTCAACATCATGGTCACCATCACTGCCACCACCATCAATACCTTCAACATCACCACTATAGCTTCGAATTGCTGAGCCCTTCCCCCATGCTAGGTATCAGAGATGTTTGATTTCTACTTCAGCCTCTTAGAAATCCTGGATTCAAGGAAAATACGGGTGCCCAACTGCACAGTTTACACTCAATAGAGTCCAGTGGACCAGGCCTCCTTGTCACTACCCTATGTCCCTGAGGCCACTTCTCTCCCTGCCCCAATTCCTGCCCTTCTAAATTCTGTCCCTCCCCAGGGCACATCCTCAGCATCAGGTCTGACCCCACTTCCTATATAATGTTGCTGGTGTGGTCTCTGCCATCCGTAACCAAGCCTGTGCATCCACACTGACCACACATCTATAGACAGGGGTCGTGGGCACAGATGTCAGCAAAGTGGTGATACAAAGGGGACAGACTGAAGACTATACATGTTTAGTGCCAAAGGCTGGGTTACCCTTCACTCCTGGGACAGCTCCTGTGAGCTCTGGGAAACTATGCAAGACTCACTCTCGGAGCTGTGCTGAGACAGCTTCACTCATAATTCAGACTCAGTTACAGGCTAAGGAAGGGCTGAGGCAGAGACTGAAGACCCCCTACCATCCAGGGGAGGACAGATTCTGGTACACTCACTGACATCCCAGCTTGTCATGGTGTCAGGGGCTGTGTGGCCAGCCACTCCAGAGCCTATAAACAATGCAGCATCCCTGGCGGTGACACAAGGCAGGCAGCTAATATCCAGCTTAGTCACCTAGGATGAATCTGTCCCAGAATGCAGAGAACAGGCATACCGTTTGAAGTTGGGCAGTAGCAGGCTGCCCTGATGAGGGACCAGCTTTGTGGAGGAGACAGCTCTCCCCACTCTTGCTCAGGCTCACTGGCCTGTAGGGTGGGAGTCACCCAGCCCTGAGGAAGGCCAAATCTATAAGTGAGGTGGGGTGGGAGAGAAAGACAGGGTAGCTTCTACTCCACAGCGTGGCCAACAGTCCATGGGCCAGATCACCCTGCACCCACTGAATAAATCACTGTCTTGCAGTATCGTCACTCTCCATGACTTCTTGCTTTTGCCTGCTGTACTGTGGCTGCTGAGCTGATGTGTGATAGGAGGGTCCAGGCGGTGACCAGAGCAGAAGGTCTTTACCAATGAACCCTGGAAAGTCAACTATCTCTAGTCCAACTGACAGTATATGGAGCAGAGGGAAGGTTTTCCTGGGAGTCATGGCCATCTGGAGACCTTCCCAGGGATCGAGACAGCTCTAGGGTCTGTGGAGTGGACCCCATCAGGACCAATCTCCTATACAGCTGAGAACACAGGGCCTAATAAAGTCCTGTAGCCTCCCTTTCAAAGACCACAATTACTTTAAGTGACAAAAACGGTGCTTTCCTATATGCTTTGTGATTAAAATATGCCTGAAATATACTGAGTGAAATTAAGCCGTGTTTTCCCACCGCAGGCAATCATTACAAAGCAGATGTGGGTGCAGATGTTTTCCTAGAGCAGCTAAGCCTCATGATGTGTTTTCTAAGGCGGCTGAGTATTCCCACACTTAGCAAGGGTTCCCCCAGCCAAGCTCCGCAGTGGACCTGGGGGTTGCTGTCGCTGTAAATGCACTCTGCATGCAAGTCAGAACCACTGCAAGACACTCCAGCTGAAACACCAACGCCACCTGCCTAATCACGGTTTGCAGAGCAAGGCACCCACAAAATCAACAAGGTCAAAAGAAGCATTGACTGGGAGGGACCATGTGAATACGGTTTTGAAGGGTTTGTCGTTTTCAAGGGTGAAGATGGCTGGAAGAAGAGTGGACTTGGAAGCAGCCATTAGGGGCTAGAACAAACTTGGGTGTGGGTTTAGGCTTGAGTTGTCATCCAGAGTCACTGCCAGAAATGGGATAGGATTATGGCTGCGAGATTGGAAGAGCAACTAGAGGCTAGACGCCAGTGTTGTCCGGCAGAGCCTCGCCACTGAGATCCCTCCAACCTAAAAGAGGGAGAGGCTTGAGGCTTTCCCCAGTCCCTCTGCTGGGCTGTCTGGGTCATGTCTACGGGTCACCAGCCTCAGCCTTCAGGTTTTGTGAAGTCAGAGAAGGGAAAGAAGAAAGTAGGAGTCTTCAGAGGGTTGTGCTATGTCAACCTGACCTTGAGCACCAAGGACACTGATACCCTCTCTACTCGCTGAAGCTGACCTTCCAGTCTGCCCACACCTTCGGAGCAACACTATCTTCAGCCTTCCCGTGGGACATGCATCTTAATTTCTCCTCCACATCGACCTCAGGATAGTCATGGTCCAGGATCCAAGTCCCAACCACCAAGGCATCTCTCTCTCTCTCTCTCAGAGATCAGGGACCATCACCAGAACGCATCACCAGAGTGTGACATAGGGGACTGGGGGAGGGGTGCAGTACCTTGAGTTCTGCTTATGAGTTTGTCCACATGGAGACCAAAGAAAGCTGAGGCTAGAACCTGAGTCTGCACACCTGGGTTCAGGGCAACACAAACGACAACAGCCAAAGGCAGAACAAGCCACGTGTCCACCCATGGGAGAGAGGGTGAGCAAAAGTGCCCATCCCTCAGTGGTGTGGGAACAAGATTTGGAAGGAAGAGCACCTGTCCCTCGTCACCACAGGTAGGGACCATGAGAACACAGTGCTGAGTGGAAGAAGCTGGGTATGGAAGGCCAGCTCCTGCAGGATCTTAGTCTTCGGAGGCCCCTTGAGTCCTCAAACCCAGCAGAAAGCAGAATGAGGTAATGGGGGCTGGAGAGGGGTCAGGGGTCAGTAGTTCCTGAGTGCAGTGGCATTTCAACTATATTTTAAGAAGTAAAGACTGCCTGAAGATCTGAGAGTAAAACGGTCCCACTAGTTAACCTTACAGACCGGATTATGGTAACACACACCTTTAATCCCAGTAGCCACACTAGTTGCCATAGAAACTGGGCGGTGCATTCCTTTAATGATGGTGGTGCAAATGCCTTAAATCCCAGCCCTAGGAGAGGATTGTAAATGGGAGGAAACAGCTCTCAGGCACACAGTCTCCTGAGATTCCCGGAGGCAGGACTGCCTGCCTTTCAAATTGAGATCAAGGTAAGAGCCAGTGGCTGGATGTTTTTGCTTTTTGGATCTTTCGGTTGAACCCCAATTTCTGACCCTGAGTTTTTATTAATCGTGCTTCACCTGGGGACAGAGATTCAGTCTGGGAGGATGAGAAGTTCTGGAGATGGGTGGTGGGGATACACTTATTGTCAAAGAATTGTGTGGCTACAATGTCCATGAGAGTTTGTTATGCATATTTAACCACAAGTGAAAAGAAGACAGGAGGGGGTTACCCAGTGCCAAGCTTCTGGACTAAGCAAAGTTGGCACTCAGCCAAGGAAACAGGCGGTCCCAAGCTCCTCCCGTGTCTCCCAAACAACAAGCAGCCCGGGTCATTGGCACTGCACAGGGCTGACTGTAGATCTGGGATGTGACCTGGAGCTACGCACAGCTTCACCAGTCTCTGGTTCCCACTAAGGCAGCAGGAAAGGGTTACAGAGACACCCAGGCCAGCCACCAGTGCACCCCGGGGTTAGGATGAGGGATGAGCATTCCACTGACCTGATTGTAGAGAGCACAGATATGCAGGGCTGTGTTCCCTGAGGCGTTCTGTGCACTCATGTCCGCGCCATAGAAGAGCAGATGTTCCAGATGCTGGACATGTCCGTACCTGCAGGCCTGAGACAAGAAACTAAGTGAGACCTCAGTGGCTGCTGCTGGTCAGTCCTGAAAAAGAGACCCCAGTGCCCCTGTGGGCTGGGCCTGAGACACAGAAGCTGCATGAGACCCCATCGCCCCTGTGGGCTGGGCCCGAGACACAGATGTTGAGTGAGACTTGGCACCTAGGGTTGCTCAAGACACAAGCTTCTGCCCAGCACCCTGCCATTTGTTTAAAAGCATTGCAGGGCCCTGACAGACCTCACTCCACTCATTCCTATAGACTGAGGCCCACAGATATTACACCCCTGCACACCAAAGATTGGGAAGGTCCCAGGCTCCTAGCTAAGGGTAGAGAGAGGGAATCCTTGCCCAGTTGGAAACTTATACTCTGTTCTTAGGCAAGGGGTCTGGAAGGGGCCTCATGGTTCTTTCCACACAGATCCAGAAAGACACGTTGTCCAACAGACAAATGGGTCTTTTGCTGACTTGGGGGCTGAGTTCTCTGAAATGGAGGTCAAGACGCTCAGTTCTGCATTACTGGTCATGGAGATGCTAAGAGCCCTAGCCTTGTGTTGTGTGCAAGGAGGCCTGCACTTGTCCTTCCGCATGCAAGCACAGCTTCTTGCTGCATTTGAATGTGATCCAATCTTCCATAGGTAGGGCAGGCCCACCATGTGATCCATCCCTTCCAAGTCCTCCTAGGGGTTGACACAGTAATTATAGCCCAGGTATCTACGAGGTCAAACACACTTGGACTGCGTCCCAGACCTTCCATTAGCTTGGCCTTCACCTTCAAGGTTTTGGATGCCCTTGTCATTAGTGGGACTAGTGTCCCTCTCACAGGTTTGTGTAAGTCACAGAGGACAAGAACATCGAGAATCACACGACACTGGGCCCCCAAAATAGGCACAGCACCCCATCCTAGTTCAAAGGGGCAGGGAGGTCCCTGCACAGGTGACTGGACACCTCCACCAGTCAGTGACTTCACAGGGGGAGGAAGGTATGCCACACCAAGGACAAAGTCATTGCGGATGGTGATATTGGCCCTGGATCAACAGACTGTGTCTGATCAGTGTACAGAGTACACTTTACCTCAGCAGTGTCAATGGGAGCAAGAGCCGCTCTGCAAAGAGGACAGGGAGAAGTAGACAGTGGTTGTTAAAAGCACTCGAAAAACATCCATTTATAGTGCCATGTCCCCTGTGACACTCTCTCACTGTTGACTAGATGGATCCGACAGGAGATACTGCTGCTCTGCCTGCCTGCCTGGTGGCCCCACTTCACTCAAGCACCTCTTCGTCTCCGGAATTGCCTGCCCAGCTCTGGTTGGTTCAGATGGCCCAGGTGCACCTGATCCTGAAGGATGTCGGACACAGCTATGCAGCTGTCATCCCCATCACTGCAGATAAGGCTTGGAGAGGAACCGCTCTGAGCCCAAGCAGACTCAGGAGGCCAGGACAGCTGTCAGGACTTGAGGGAAAGTAACATTTTTTACAGCTGCTGGAGCTGGCACTCACAGCTGCTGGAGCTGGCACTCACAGCTGCTGGAGCTGGCACTTACACCTGGAGCTGGCACTCACAGCTGCTAGAGCTAGCACTCACAGCTGGAGCTAGCACTCTCACAGCTGCTGGAGCTGGCATTCATAGTTGCTGGAGCTGGCATTCACAGCTGCTGAAGCTGGCATTCACAGCTGCTGGAGCTGGCACTCACAGCTGCTGGAGCTAGCACTTAGGAGCTAGCACTTACTCACAGCTGCTGGAGCTGGCACTCACAGCTGCTGGAGCTGGCACTCACAGCTGCTGGAGCTAGCACTTAGGAGCTAGCACTTACTCACAGCTGCTGGAGCTAGCACTTAGGAGCTAGCACTTACTCACAGCTGCTGGAGCCAGCACTCACAGCTGCTGGAGCTAGCACTCCAAGGGGAGCAAAGAAGAGAACAGCTGCAAGAACCTGAGGGAGGGACAATGAGCCAGGGTAGCCCATAGAGTAATCCACAGGGCCCTGCTGGGACTGTTCTGAGCTACACTACCTTTACACTGCTCTTGGGGTTGTTCAGAGACATTAAAATAAAGCCTAATTTTTTTTGTCCCCCTGTTTGATTCAACCAGTTTGAGCTGGGAATTTTGCTCCTTAAACTGAAGACACAATTTGGCTAATCAGCTCTCCTCGAAGGCTTTGCGGAGACAGCATTTTGTAGCAGCTTAATTTAATTGCTCTCTAGTCAGTAAAGAGGACTCGGTTACTACAGGCTCACTGAGCAATTAATCCAGGCTCATTACCCCCTCCCCCAGGTAATCTGAATTCAGGAGGTTTGCAGCTCAGGATGCTGTCACTATTTTAACCAGGGTCAAAATATGATGGACACTAGGAGAATAAGCAGAGGTTTTTGTTTATGGACAGTCTGGGGAGAGCGTCCCCAAGGACCCCCTTCGTGTGTTTCATCCATTGGCATGCTTACTGTTTAGAGACAATTAAAATCAGAAAATGCATGGGAAAAAAAACACAAAAACATAGAACAGATACCAATACCCTCAGGATCACTATTCTGCCAGGCACTTTACTAAAGAGTCACCTTTGCTAGCCTCTCCATCACCATTGCTAGTCTCTCCATCACCGTCGCTAGCCTCTTCATCACCATCGCTAGCCTCTCCATCACCGTTGCTAGCCTCTCCATCACCTTTGCTAGCCAGAGTTGAGCAAAGGTGTGTACAGGTGAGGAACTCAGGCTGATTTTTCTGTGCTGAAAAGAGAAGCTAAAATACAACCCTTGTGGTGCTGGCTTGGTATGGGGATTAACTAATTAACTTTATGTGTATGAATGTGTGTGTGTGTGTGTGTGTGTGTGTGTGTGTGTGTACCACATGCATGCAGTACCTGAGATCAGCAGAGGGCATCTGCCCTCCTGGGACTGGAGTTGGGAACCACTATGTGGATGCTGGAAACTGAATCCAGGTCCTTGAGAAGGGCAGCCAGTGCTAATTTTTGAGCCATCTCCCCAGACCCTGGTATGGGGTGTTACCATAAACCTGCAATTTTCTTTTTGATTGATGGGAACTAGAGTTTCACTATATAACACTAGCTGGCCTGGAACTCATTATATGTAAACCAGGCTTGGCTTAAACTTGTGGTGACTCTCTTGCCTCTCCTTTCCACGTTCTGAGATTAGAGATAAGCATCATACCTGGATGAATGCACAATTGTGACGTACAGAGAAATAAAGATGGAAGTGGGGAAAGCTGGCCCTCTGAAGCTGAGGAGACCATCAGCCACAGAGAAAAAGTTTTCGGGATAAATACCACATTTGGACTGAACGTGCACAGAAGTCTTCTTATCATTGTTTCCCAAACAAAAGAGCAGAACAAATATTAGTGCAACATGTCCATGGTGTAGGGTCACAAATGATATGGGTGATTCAGAGTTTCGGGAAGGGGGCAAAAATGTGTCTTTCTATTACTTTACTTCGAGACAATATGGTGTTTTGAATAAAAATGCCCCCCATAGGCTTGAATGTTTGAACGCTTGGCCCTCAGTTGGTGGAAGTGTTTGGGAAGGATTGGGAGGTGTGGCCTTGTTGGAGGAGGTATGTCACTCAAGGCAAGCTTTGAGTTTTCAAAAGATTCATGCTATTCCCAGTCTCTTCCCACCCCTCTCTGTTCCCGCTTACAGATCCAGATGTGAGCTCTCAGCTGCTACTGCTGCCACGCCTTTGCTCTGCCCAGCATGGACTCTAGCCCTCTGAAATGGTAAGCCAATTAAAGGCTTTCTTTTTTTTTTAAATTTATTTATTTATTAAAGATTTCTGCCTCCTCCCCGCCACCGCCTCCCATTTCCCTCCCCCTCCCCCGATCAAATCCCCCTCCCTCGTCAGCCCAAAGAGCCATCAGGGTTCCCTGCCCTGTGGAAAGTCCAAGGACCACCCACCTCCGTCCAGGTCTAGTAAGGTGAGCATCCAAACTGCCTAGGCTCCCACAAAGCCAGTACGTGCAGTAGGATCAAAAACCCATTGCCATTGTTCTTGAGTTCTCAGTAGTCCTCATTGTCCGCTATGTTCAGCGAGTCCGGTTTTATCCCATGTTTTTTCAGACCCGGGCCAGCTGGCCTTGGTGAGTTCCTGATAGAACATCCCCATTGTCTCAGAGTGTGGGTGCACCCCTCGCGGTCCTGAGTTCCTTGCTCGTGTTCTCTCTCCATCTGCTCCTGATTTGGACCTTGAGATTTCAGTCCGGTGCTCCAATGTGGGTCTCTGTCTCTGTCTCCTTTCTTTTATAAGATGTCATAGTCATGGGGTTTTGTCACAGCAATAGAAACATAAATAAGACAGACAAGGCCTTACTCTGCAGCCCAGAATGACTTGGAACTCAAAGCCAGTCTCTGGCCTCAGTCTCCTAGATGTTAGGATTACAGTTGTGACTCTCCATACCTGACTATACTTTGTCAATTTTTGGTAAGACATTTAAGCATCATAGATTGTGGCATCCTTGTGTCCCAGAAGGGGACGGGGAGGGTGGAGTAGAGAGAGAATACACACATGCCCAAGTATGCACACATCTCAAACTCTGGCTAAGGAAGATGTGTTGCCAGCAGTAGCCCAGTAGCCATGCTGCACTATAGAGAGGTAAGGTCTTGCAGAAATGGTCTGAGGCAAGAAAAGGAGAGGAGGAGCCTGTGTTGTGTGGTAATTTCCTGAGTTGAAACAATCCATTATCAGAGGTGAAACTCCTTAAGACTCAGAAGATCCTAAAGGGAGGTTCATTAAGGGGGAGGAAGCAAACAATTCATAATTCTCAGGATGTCTCTGAAACTGAGCAAATGCACAGACCCGTCTCTCTCTAAAGTCATATAAGCTGTCAGGATTTCTGAGATGCTCTTAACCCAGCAGGGCTGCCTGGAAGAGCAGCCCTGTCAAACTGCTTGCAAGCTGTGCAGGGAGCTCCAGGGTCCCAGCTTTCAGGAGCCATTACTCATGATTGGGAGGGCTTTGGTGACATAGCTGCCTCTGGGTCATCCCTGGCCATGT